AATTTTTGTCACTTGATTTGTAAATTATAAGGGATTTACCTCTGTATGAGCAGACGAAGTAACGGCTAAGTTCTATAGCCTATGCAGATAACAATGATATATATAATCTATTTGACAATATTCGTTGTGATCCGTTTACCCGTTGCCTTGAAAAAGTAACAAACAGACCGGCAGACAGACAACATTCGCATTTAGAATATTAGCATGGTTAAAAAAAATGATGACTACTTATTACCCTTTTAAGATATTGTGGATTATTAGTGTTAGACACTATAATATATATAATAGAGTTTCATCATGTTTCATGTTTATAGTCGGGTTATACCATTTAGATTATTGATAACGTTCCATATTTAGGCTTGCGATGACGATGATAATGCGATGATGATCCTTGTTCCATATTTAGACTTCCTCCTTGATCATCACACATATTCAAATCATTCAAAACCATTTTCAATATTAAGTATTTACTGAATTATCATAAATCAACTAGGGAAAAATCAATCCAAGTACAATTTCATAACGTTTTAAATAATAATAATAAAAATAGATTATTCATTGGCGAAAATGTAACAAACATAGAGATGTAATGGAGTTGTAATCATTTTTTCATGTAGGATAAAAATATGATGATATGACTTATTTATTTATACATTTTGTTACTATCACGACTTTCATTGCGCCTGACAATATTGTCCTGGCAAGAGCACTTCCGATAATAATGCGGCTAAGTGAAATAAATGGATAACTGCTTTGTACTATTTTACCACACAACAAATTATATTAAGTAATTCTTTGTGCAGGCGCAATCTTTAATCTCTTTTTTTATATCAGATAAAATTATCATTATCTATATATGTTACCAGCTTTTAGTGACTCTTAAATAGGTTACACTCAAATATTATGTTTTTACTTAAAACGTATTAACACAAAATGCGATGTTGAATTCAAAGACAGTAATGGAAACACCAGTTTGTGGATTTGAATTTTAAAAATATTTTGTGTAAAGTTCATATAAACATTTAAATCAAATCATCTTCAATAAAAAAGTTACCGATAGTTGGGAAATGAATTCGGTAGGTATTTAGGTAGTACATTACAAAGCTTTTTGTTTATATATGTGCGTAAAGGTTATCTGGTAGACAATATGCCTACGGCATTAAGTTGGCCTTTAGTACGAGTTTATGTACAATAAAAATAAAACAGGCGTATTTTTTAAGAAAGGCTTTCACTGTAATTGACGATTGTTCTTTCCGATTGTTTATTTTATCGTTTCGTCTCGACGGCAGTCTTCAAATTCGTCGGCAAATTTTAATGATTATTTGTTTATACATTACTTACTATATTAGTTTTATACTCCTTCATTTTATCGAGACAGACTCGTCTGGGTCATATCTCTGTCTTTCCTATGTTATGGCTTTTGTCTTTCGTATCCTTGGGGAAATCCATAATGGAGATCCTCCGTTACCCAGGTGGTAACGAACGGGTACTGCCATACTCCTACCTTACAACCCCATGGTGTACCTCTGTCGCTTATTGCCGGAGTCACAAGTGTATGTAATCGGAATTGCATCCTTCTGCAGTTCCGACGACGGACCATTTGAAACGGACCACTACGGTTATGTACCCATGGAACTTCTCCTGAAGAAGCCAGGAGAAGTTCCATGGGTACATATCGGCATCTTACCTCTGTCTTACCTATTGTAACCGCCAAGAGGGTTGCATTGTAAGATGAATTTCGGTTGAAGCTTGAGATATTCGAAAAGTTGTGAAATTTATGGATATGATATCTTAATCCTCTAGTATAGCAACACAAGTGTTTTGATTGACCTGATCTCATACTCATCTTATTATCTTCCAATGGTATGTCGCCAGCGTAAACCGTTAATGCAGGAGTTTTCCTTTTAAATCCTTTAAATAAATGTGCGCGGTGCCGCTCATTCAGTCGTATATAGAAGACTGTTACCATTTACTATCAGGTGGACCATTAACTCCTTTATCCTTCCAGTTATATATAAGAGATTGTTAAAATTAAAGTAATTTTATTATGAAGAAGCTACACTTACAAACCGCCTATATGACAAAGCAGAGCAAATTAATCTTATGAGTGAGTGTTTGATCTGTATCCTAGGCGCCTGGTAGATATGAATTGTAATCAATTAGATAATATTATTATGTTGTATATATATGTATTTAGTTTTCATATAATATTTAACTCTCTTTTTATAGTGCGCCACCTACCTTTCTTATAAAAGATCGCCTTGAGCGATAAGGCCGCGTTTTGTTCGCATATTTTTCTTTCTTTCTTTCTTTTTTGTAATTATTTGTTCTTTTTTTTTTATGCACAGTAAAGAGTTTTTATTATTATATTATAATATACGCGATTATTCACGAAACATTGACGATTCTATAGTACATATAGTATCTAATACTAATAGGGCGATAAACGTTATTTTTCTTTCTAAAGTCAAGTTCTTGATGGGTAGATTATATGCAGTTCATTGAATAAATTACCAGGACCTATAATGAAAAGTTTAAGATATCTAATTTAAAAAAGTAATTCTTTCTTATATAAAGTGAATATAATAAGATAGAGTTTTTATTATAATATGTCTGCAATGGCAAAGAGGGCAATGCAAAGGCATCTCTATACAAGAATAGCACAACATCACGTCACCACAGAGTTGACGGAGAGAGAGTTATCATTGTGTAACTGAAATGGCAAACAAGTATCCATCTCCGTACATGAACAGCACAAATGACGGACGGACGCACGGACGACATATGAGTCCGTGATATTTATGCTTAGCGTTACTGAGAACTATAGCGTTACGCCTGTACTACGCCTTACACTATCATATACTCATTCTTATAATTGACACAGTTTACAAAGCAAGCTGCTTGGTAGTACAAATAGGCAAGACAAAAGTAGATACACACGCTGGCGACTCTGTAATAATCTATATACTAAAAGATGTAGTACATGCAATCTTACACTATATTGAGTGATTAACAGGCGTAATATGTTGTCATGAGAGACATATTCAATGTTGAACAAGTGCTAGATGCAATGACCATGAATATCATCAAGGAACAAACGCCAAGTGTCTTCTGTGCATCTAGTAGGTAGTATAAAATAAACAATTGTAAGTTTATAATTAAATATTTACAAGTTTATCGGTAGTTATTCACTTTAAGTTTAACATATGTATGTTAAAAGCTATTGTCATTTCTTCACAGACTTTGTAAAATTTCGACTAAAAGATTTTGAGGTAGAAATCAAGTATTGTATTGAAATATTCTATTCAAAACTTAAAATTAAAGACTTACCCGATTATTTATCAAAAGTTTATTAAACATCCTTAAAATTTCCGGTTTTTTGTGTTTAATATATGGTTTTAATATTTCTCTTTATACGAAATAAATTAGCAGAGCAACTTAAAAAATGAAGGGCACACAATATATATGAGAGATCCATATTTTCTTACAATGAATGTAAAAGGTATTCGCTAGTCTAGTCTAAAAACTAGAGATATCCTGATATCCTAGTATAAAACGTAGATATCATAATAATTCATATAAATAGGAATATGCTATCAACGTAAGTTGACACTACATTGTCAACGAAATAAAGTTGTGTGATCTAGGTAGATACACAGTAAGTTCCCATAATTTTAATTTGCTAACCTATTGTAGCTACTCGCCCCGGCTTCGCACGGATGTACATGTAATAAATATATATATATGCCTTCCTCTTGAATCACTCTACCTATTAAAATAAAACCGCTTCAAAATCCGTTGAGTAGTTTTAAAGATTTAAGCATACATAAGGACAGACGGCTACAGCGACTTTGTTTTATACTCTGTAATGATAATTATAATATATACTTGGAAAGTGTTAACTGAAACTGAAAATTCACTGAAACTTCATTCCGGTATACATTATTCATAATACCTAAGTATTTTTAAGACATTATAGTTTAGTGGTTTAAAACTTGATTCATATATTGCTCGTGAGTTCAAATAAATATGTAAATTTACATTTATGAAACTATGAGCACCCGCAACACCAGGAGACTTGCAAGTACGTTGTCGGCCTTTTAAGAAGGAATAAGCTCTTTTCTTGAATGTTTAAATATTGTATCGGTTTGGAAATACCATTGCTGGGAGATGATTCTATTTTGTTGTAACTGAGTAATACAAATATTTAGAATTTACAACAATTTTATTCATTTACTCTTTCGCAACTTTTGTAAAGCTCTGCTATCCAAAGTTTCTTATTTAGAATAGAATATAAATTCAAATAAATGTACATTGAAACACTTTTTTTCAAACTACTTATTTGGACAGCTGTCTTATTACAAGAAGAATAAGCAAGAAACTAGTGATTAGCTCTTTAAATAATTGTGTTGTTACTTTACATTTTTATGTAGAAGTGTGTGAATACAAAGTATCAACTAGCTCAAAATCAATTGAATACTCAAATAGAGAAAATATTAAATAAATATTAGTAAAATGTATTTGTATCATTTTTACATAGTATAAAATGAAGTCGCTTTCGCTTTTATATTTTAAAAGTATTTATTATTAAATTGAAAATTATTAAATTAATTAAATTACTAAATCAAGTATATAACCAACTGTTTAAAACTAAATAAGAGTAAATCAGTCGTAGTGATTAGAGTAAATCAGTTGCTACAAGCAGCTCTCGTTCACGAGTATGAATAATTTCCTTTCTTTTCTTACTCATACGACGTACTCGTATTTATATTATTTACTTTAACTCCTAAACCTTTTAGCACTACAATGTCTCATAAGCAGCACGTATCTACTTCTACCAACATTCAAGTAGGTATTATTTAAATTATTAACCGGGTCTTAACACGAATAATTTTATGGCAAATAAAGGTATTTACCTCTCTCGACGTTTCGACTAGGTTGCACTAGCCGTGGTCTTTCTGTACCAAGGTGAATACTACCTTCAAATAGATGGCGTTGCAATGGGGAGCCCAGTGGCACCATTAGTAGCTAATATTTGGATGGAGCACATTGAGACAAAGATTCTTGCTCTCAGACCATTAGAAATTAGCCTGTGGAAAAGATATGTAGATGATGTTTTTTGCATATTTAATGGTACACAACAACAAGCAGACGAATACCTAAAATACCTAAATTCCATACATTCTAAAACCAAATTTACAATGGAATTGGAGAAAGATAGGTCCTTAGCTTTCTTGGACATCCTAGTTATGGTGAGATCCGATGGCTCGGTTACACACACAGTATACCGGAAACCAACACACACAGATAGATACCTACATGCCTCCTCACATCATCACCCACGACATTTACAATCAGTCGTCACCACTCTCACAAACAGAGCGCAAGATCTCTGTGCCCCTGAATTTGTGGAACAAGAACTATCCCACGTTCAAGAAGTACTCAAGAAAAATGGTTACATAAAGAGTAGAAGGCAAAATAAGCGCGTAACAAAAGCTAAAAAACCGGAAGTGAACAGACAGCCAGCGTACATGACTTACTTAAGAGGAATAACGGACAAAATTGGAACAGCACTAAATAAATACTCCATTAAGACTGTATATTATCCGCCCTCAAAAGTAACGAACAATTTACGTTCACCAAAGGATAAGCTACCTTATGAAGCTCCAGTTGTCTACAAAATTGACTGTAGTTGTGGTAGCTCTTATATTGGCCAAACAAAGCGATCAATAGCCGAGAGAGTCAAAGAGCACATCGCAGCGGTTAAAAATCGACAACCACACAAATCAGCGATTGCCGATCATCTACTGAACGCAGGAACAAATCACTGGATTGAACTACATGCGCCTAAGGTTATTACCCACGAATGGTCCGGGATTGAAATTAAAAAACAAATTTCAACAGAGAGGATGGTTTAAAATTATCATCTGCGTGGAATCCAGTCATAAATAAATTCAAGCAAAGTTCAGTAGCATCAATAGTCAATAAGTGTACGGATACCGTGAGTGCTATGTGTCGCGAACTTTCGTTAAACAATCTAGTGACGGTAGATGAAGAAAAAACTGCTGTCACCTATCTACATTGACATCGCTGTTACTCCAGTCAGCTCGTGACCACGGCTAGTGCAACCTAGTCGAAACGTCGAGAGAGGTAAATACCTTTATTTGCCATAAAATTATTCGTGTTAAGACCCGGTTAATAATTTAAATAATGTATATTAAACACGAAAGTTTAAAATTAACTATTCAAGTAGGTACTCTCTGTATCTAAAATGAGGACATAAGCATATAATAATAACAAACCTGCCTGTCAATCATTCCTCTCAATTATTTTCTTTGTACAAACATTCAAAATGGTGAAAAATATACAACATATTTCTATTGATATGTTATGTGGAATATTCACCTGCTACGTTGGTAATATAGAATACTAGTTATATCCCGCGATTTTATGTACTTTATTTGAGATAAAAGATAGCCTATGTCCGTACTCGCCATAAACACCATACCTATCCTCGATTCAAATTTCATTAAGATTGGTTCAGCCGGTGCAAATGTGACAAATAGATACACTTTCAATTACGATAATATTAGTATGAATAAGTATTTACATTAGTAAATTATTAATTGTTATTAATATGGATATTGACTTACTTACTAATGCTTACCTAACCTAATACATTTATGTCTCTAAGTCCATAAAAGTGTATGTAGTGTGGATGTATTTGTACAAGTCAAAACAAAAAAAGAAGCTCTTTTATCAAGACAGTAAAAAACATTTAAAGCAGTTTTTGCAAAAGTCGTCTGTGTGGGTACCCTGTGCTCTGTACCATCTATTTAAGTCGCTAATCTTGCTTTTACAGCTTCACCGGACGATAGGAAGCAAGTGACTCCAAATCCGCGGAAGGACTTGTGGAATAGAATAGAATAGAAAATCATTTATTCAAATAAACTTAAATAAACACTTATGAATAGTAGTCATAGTTATCATTCTTTTAATCTACCACTCATTCGGAAAGCAGTCTCATCACAAAAGGAAAATCATACTAAATTGATATGATTAACAGGTCTTATAAATGAGTTGTTTCATTATATTGAATGTAAGAATTATAAAATTTATTGACATTAAATTTTTTTTTATAACAGGGGACAAACAAGAATGCGGCTCACCTGATGGTAAGTGATTACTACCGCCCATGAGCACCCGCAACTCCAGAGGAATTGCAAGTACGTTGTCGGCCTTTTAAAAAGGAATAAGCCATTTTCTTGAAGGTTTCAATATCGTATCGGTTCGGAAATACCATTGCTAGAAGGTGATTCCACAATGTGGTTATGCGTGGCAAAAAGCTGTATATTGTATGTATATATGTATGTTTAACAAGAATTATCTATATATTATAACTAAAAAAATAATCAGCTTGAACGTCACACAATTCCTAAAATAATATGTACACTATCGATCAATCTCGGCTTCGCAGTGTGTTTCAATTTCTTCTAAATTTTATTCATCTAATACTTAATGTAAACCGTCGTATAAAATCAGTCTGTTGATGAATGAAAACCTTATGAAAATCAATTCTGTAGTTTTTGAACATACCACTATATGTTACTTACTAATTTTGTTTTATATATAGGTATAATGTTTAAAATATAAGTTTAATAAATATGTAAATTATTTATTATACTTATATTTTGGATTAGTTATGCCAACAACATTCTGCTTCTATTACATTATTATATTAATAAAATAGTAGCGTATTGAAAATGTTAAAAAAATTATTAATTTCACCCTTTTGAGGGGTATTTTTCTCAGTATTTTCTTTATTGTATATGTAGATGCATACTTAATAATACTTTCCGTGAAAAAAATATCCTCATTCTTACAGCCTTTTTTACGCGAAATTGTAACATATACATAGACAATTTTCGCTTCGTCACGATTTTAGGATTTTATTGAATCGTCATATATTTAAGGGTATTTTGTCACGAATGGAGTAATCTGCTATTAGATTTGAAAGGGTCTATGCGAAAATCACTCACATTGTGGAATGAATTACCTGCCGAGATTTCCTCAAGAGACTACAGTATAGGGTATTAAAAGGTTTCCTAAAAGAGTTTATTAAGGTTTCTTATGATAGTGTTTTAGGCATCTAGTATACGATACCGTTTACTATCAGACGAGTCGTATTCCTGTTTTCCACCATTAGGTCTTTGCGACCACTTTTTTTTTAATATATAAAAAAAGACAAAGTTAATTCAGTAGTACCATAATTACAAGTCTGTCGATAAGCTGGAACATAGCAATATATACATGTTATAAATAAATATATCCATTTTCCTGTTCAAATAGACCACTTAACTTTGTCATCCTATTTGTTCCTCTCATACACAGAATGTATACAAGCACCAAGGTTTTACACCGTAGGTATATACCTACATCCTTTGTTGATTAAAGAAGAATCTGTGTATGTAGTTTTAGTCCTGTGAAAATACTTATTTCTTGTTGGTATTCCTTTTGTCTATGTTGCCAAGTCGTTAAATTATATATATGTAATTTTCAATGAAAAAACACACGTCCTTTGTACTAAAAATCTTTAGTTGGGAGCTTTTACCTCTATTCTTACAAATATGTTGTAAAGCGACATACGACAATAAATTCATTAATATTTAACAGTTTTTGTGGGGGTAAAATCCACTCGGCGGACTTTATGAAAATTCAGACCTGATTTCACTACACACGAAGTTATATAAGAAGCGTTCCTCACTACTGGTCCTATATTGATCTCATTTTGGGGGCGTGTCATACTTTATTAAGGAACATATGATTACAAACAGGAATCTGCAATCAATAGGAATTCCATTTGTGAAAGTGAACAAGTTCTTAAATTTATATTTTTTACTCTTACAGAGAAAATATCATACAACTAATAGAAATACTAAACCAGATTTTTATTAGAATATATCTATAATATACATATAAAAACCTAGATCAAAACAAACAAACATACTCCTGAATATAAACGTTTGCATTCCTCGCACAGGAAGAGAACGCATGACCATCTCAAGGAAGGCTGTGTGTTAAACAACTGAACTACTGAGGGCCTTACTATTTATTAGGTATTGGTAGCGAAATGAATGCGCTTGATGGATACTACATCTAAAGTCTAAAAATGTTGTTTGTGACAATCTCCATTCTCACTATAATAACAATGCTTTTAATTCAATAAAAGTACTGTGTAAATCTTTACACAGTATAATACAAAATATGAATATCTCTATAGCATAAAACAAATTAATCGCGGTCACTGTCTGATCGCTTGCTTGCTTGTCATTAAAATCCGTTCCATTTTCATTGATATGTATAATACAAGCATGTTATAGTATGGAACAAGCTGATAAATTCAAAGATTTGTAATGCCTACGTGCGAGTTCGGGACGAGTCGCTAGTTAACTATAAATAAGAAAATCTATTAACTTTTGATATAGTATATATCAATAAATATATTCAATATCTAACAACTTCATCGTCTTTATAATATCAGTAGTAAGTAAGTAAGTAAAAAAAAGCCTATTTCGTGGAAATGTTTCATGAAATCTAGATACAAATATAAAGCAACCATTTTAGAGATTCTGCTTCTCTGTTTCTAACCTGTTCATATACTATTTATGTATAGAATATTGATGTCTAGATGCTAAGCTCGTCACATAATAATTTACTTTGTTATTATTTGTACTTTTTTTTAACTCCGGTAAAAATAATTTACGTTTACATATTGGGCTCACTTTTTCTGTTTTACATACACATTACTATATTCAAAATTAAGTGAGACCGTTTGTTACTTACACCAAAGGTATTACTTTAATTTTGAATATTTCTTTTGTTCTGAATTAAATTTTTGTTCTAAATTGAATGTTTGTTCTTGTGATTAATTTGTAAAATAAAAAAATAAACATAAAAGTTTTAATTTGGTTTGAGTCCAAATTGAGCTTAAATATATTATAGCTCAATTTGAACTAATCAACTCAGATTTTGATTTCTACATGCGAGGGTTTAATTTTAATAATATGTAAACAAAATATATAAATAAAGGTTATAAGATCGTATTAACCCTGATACAGGTTTCTACTCTACTTATAATTACTACTTCTTGTATTCTGCTTTATAAGTTAGACTTTATACAAAGTCATTTTAAAACTTATATGGGTACCTCTGTCTCACTCATTTTGCTAACGGAATAGCAGTTTCTTCATAAGAAATTTACATAGGTTTAGAGGGCGATTTATGGCATAGAAATTACAGGATGGCAAATGCCAACGTATGAGGGAATTACGCATATTACGAGTATTACATTTTCAAGTGACATCACTGCATCACTACATCGCCTATATATTTGAGACACCACGGACATCACTACATCGCCTATATATTTGAGTTCATATATATAGGCGACAATCATCTTGTTTTTCTTCCCACTTACATAAAAGAAGAAAAATCTACTGTTAACAGTAAGCTTCGTCCTATAGCCTATTTTGCAGGGGCCTTTATTTCGAGATATTCTCGTCAATAAACACCGTAGAGAGACAGAGTTTTAATATTTATTATTGAAAGATTTGCATACATTCTGAAAATAGGGAATATTTAGTATAGCTACATAACAAAAAGTCCAATTATGAAACAACTTTATTTCTATAGAAATTTTTGTTCTATCGACGGGAATTGTTTTAAAGAAACCAAAACTGCGACAACGAACTAATGAATTAAAAAATTAAACAATTCATTGAATTGGGAACGGTATTAATTTTCAAAAACTAAAGTGAAATTGTAGACATCTCATATACCGACTTGGTAGGGGAAAGTGTTACACAGTGTCTGAAACTATAAGTAAATGGAGAGAACGCACGCGCATCTCAAAGCTTCATTCATCGTACGTGCATTGTCACGGACGGACACTGCGACCGGTGTTACATTGATCGATTGTAATCGTAAAGTGAAATTGCAACTGTGCGTGTTACAGTAGTGGATACTACAACTCTACTAATTGTTCTTAAGGTAAGTTATAGTTTTATATTATATTATAATCTGATTTTTAATGTTTGATCTGCGTTCAGGGATATTAAATATTAATCTTATTTAAATATTTAATTACTAATTAATAATTTTACGTCGGCCATGTAATTGGTAAATCTGTTCGAAATGAATGCATGGATTTGAATTTATAGACGGGTTTTATTCATTGCAATATTTATTTACTGATGACTGGCTTTTATCTATTATTGTTTAGTATACATTGTAGGAATAAAAAATCTTATGTAATAAAAATAAAATTACTTATGGCAAAATAATTAATTACAATAAGCATTTAAATTTTAATATTAGTTTTTTAAAATAACAATAATTAAGTACTTACCTAACTTGAACAAATCAAAATTATAAGCACAATATTCCCCTTTTTACATCAAGAAAAAATACGGCTAGGCCAGGCCAAGTTGATTCCACGGAAAACAGTTCATTACCTATTTAAAATACGTACTTACCTTTAAATAAATAAATCATTGGTTGTGTACTGAAGGTAAAGTCTTCGGTACATAATCAATTTATATATTTAAATAGCATTTAAGTAAATAATTCTGTGCACGCATAATATCTATGCAACACAGTCATGTCTAGTCCTAATGTTTCACTAAATATCTTAGTTTAATTATGTAATATTCTGTTATCTGTATTCTATTATATATGAATACCATTAATTAATGGCTGGGTATGAGTTTGGTTCGGGTGAAATATTTAATGGTATGTCCTATATCAACATTAAGTTATTACTTATTGTACAATTACATCTAAATCAATTATTCTAATTAGATTCGCCGATTTAACCTGCGTAGAAGATATGAAAATAGCTATTTACTAAGTATTGTTAATTCTTACTACGAATTAATTATTAATGAATAAAGATAAAAATAGAAAACAGACTTTTGAACAAGGAAGACAGAGTTAAATTCCATAAGCGCTTCAGTAGTCCTCATGGAGGTAGGCAGATAAGTTTTACATACTTACACTACACCTATACACGTATGAAATGAAAGCAGCAGCGATTTCGTGCGTGAACATTTATTTATGACACCCCATTGACATGTTTATGATTTTTTATACATATGTGAAGAAAAGAAAAAGAATAATATTCATACTTAATGTAATAAGGACGTATAATTTTAATATATTTCTACAATATCCCAAAGATAATTTTTTTATTAAAGTAAGAAAATGAACACGCTTCTTTGTGTTTTGTTCTTTCTTATTAGGATCGTTTTAGATTTTCCTTAGAAACATTCTGAAAATGGTACCTATTATTATCATTTGTTTTCTAAGACGAGCCTTTCAATAACTTACGTTTCCTTGTGAGTCATATATGATATGAGATAAAAATTATATTATATTCTTTATTACATTTTTATATACAATAATAATACTAATATGAGTAAATATTATCTACTTATTATAATAATTTTGAAATTTATTTAAAAAAATACCTCAAAAAAGAGCACTATTCAACTGTTTTGTTGCAAGTTGACATTTTTTCCCGTATTTCAACAATTTTAATGATTGTTCGCGTTTGCTTAGCCATTTAGCTCAGATTTTTAAAGGTATAGCAGTAAAATAACTCTCCCATTATAATGAAACTGTTTAATTTGTCTCTTACATAAAGCCTCTGCAATAAATATTTTGTAGTATATTTTCTTTCTTTTTAAAGGAAATGTCATACTTTGAATGATTTCATATTCAATTTGTAATGCACTAAACATATTCAAACTTAATAGTTACCATTATAAGCTAATTTCTAGTATTCCATTATAAGCTAGATTTCATATAATAAAGATTGCTTTAATCATGATTGTTAATTATAATTAATGGAATTGTTTAAGTTCAAGTTCTTGTTGAAAAACAGGTAAAGAAAGTCTTAAAATAAGACGTATTATAAATGTACTGTACGTGTACAGGTAAAGGTCTTAAAAGAAGTTCTATTATAAATGTAATCTATGCATGTAATCTGTGCAATTTAGATATTATGAGGGAGCAAATTGCTCACTATTGAGATCCTAAGCTCCTAAATATAGACAAAAAAGAACTTAAATAACATATATAACATATACAATTACACATATTTTTGTTATTGTTTTTATACACATAGTCAAGACACATACTAGAAACGGTTAACAATATATTTTTTAATGAATGTTCTGGAGTACCTATATATATTCCTTACAGAAAATCAATTCTTGAATGTGTTTTCGTTTACTATATAATAAAAGGCCACGACCAAGACTTGTTTGTCGTAGTGTACAAACCATTCGTGCTGAGTTTAAGCATTGCATTTCTGCGGTTACGTTTCATTGATGGCACTGCGCTTTAGCCTTCAAAATGTAGGTACAATACTCCATTTTGAGACCAAGTGGATTTTGTGTCATTTATCTATTATTAGTGTTACTTGCTACTCTGTCAACTTTTTTAAGATAAAGGACCGTCTTTGTATTACAATGTATCTTAAGATTAAATTTCATTAAGACACTTTCAGCACTATAATGGTAATAATCAGATATACTGACGCTATAGAATTTATAATATTGAATTTAGATTATTATTATAATGTTCATGTTACGAGTATTTAGATTTTTTTAAGTACCTTCTAAATAATTAAAGTGGAAACATAAACAAGAGAGGTGGATAAGCATAAACATTACAAAAAATATAAATGATATTTTGTGATCTCTAACTCGAAGAAATTACTATGTACAGAAGTAGGTGACGACAGCAAAGTTTAGCATGTTAATGACTAAATTATCATCAACTGCTTTCTCAGTTATCATGAAGGTCAAAGATGTTATTAAAGGTATGTATTTTGTTACAAACTGCAAATAATTAAAATGAAATCGATTAAGACAATAAACTTTCTGCCCAACAGTAAGAAGCAAGTTCACTATCAAATATGTATGTGATATTTTTTATTATATTTGGATAATAGTTAATTCTGGATTTCAGTGTATGCCTACATCGAGTTTCATTTAAATCGACCCAGTAGTTTAGTCACAAAAACATATACAGTCCATTATTGATAGCTTTGTGGTTACAATTCTCATTTTTTAAGAGACAATAATTTTAGTTTTCCAGACAATTTCTATATTTTACCATTGAATCATTTCTATATTTCACCCATAGGTGCCTAGTAGAACACATCACAGAAATTATGTTTAATAACTTAATAAGTCACAACCTTGGCTGGTCGTAGTTTACACAAGCAAATGAGCAAACATCACCCGCGGTCATGTTTGTGTGAACTAGCTTTAGTTTTCAACCATATCGCCTTCCGCGTCACATCACGCAGCTCCACATTCGCAAAAGATGAAACAGCATATTTTTTTAATCTAAGGAAATATGTACAAAGTATGTTGTCCGAGTTTTTATTATAAAAATATATTTTTGCTTTGAAACCACTATACCGGTTTAGTACCCTGAATAAAATTCAAGACTCAAAAGTCATAACTTCAAATCTGACTGAAATAAAAAAAAAGTCGTGTGTCAATTCATATTACTGATTCTTTCTAAAAATTAATCCGAGAGACGGCGGTAGGCTCACCTCCTGAAAGTCTGTCACCGTCCACGCTCCCAAAAAAATATCGAGCGAAATCCGGTCATGCCAAGTGTTGCCTTTACGACTATATCGACAGTTGATAATTCCTCTGCCTACCCTATTTGGAATGACAGTGGTTGTGATATGTATACACATAAAGAGTTATTTCACATTTTATCATAAGTCTATTTTCAGTTTCAAATCTTGAATACCTATATATGTACTATATTGTATAGATCGGTTATTTATTTACCATTACTGTGGTACCTAACCCTGTTGAAGTTATATACATATAATGCATTAAAATAGGGTTTGGAATTGGCGGAACTAAAACTATGTGGTTATTTTTACATATAAATATTTAAATAATGATTTGATGCAGTTAGAATATTAGTACAATACTACATTAATAATACAGTAGTTATGCATGTATTATTTGTAATAAAAAAAACATTATGTGCATTAAAGGTAACACCTGTAGTAGGTCCAAATTGGATTTGTAGTCTCGGGAATATTGAGAGAAGTTATTAATGTGAATGAAGCAATACTGAAAATAATAAGACTATTTTCTCTTGAATTCTAGCTTGAAGCGAGTACCTACCACTTAGTTTTCTCTAAGTAAGTTCCGCAAGAAACCTGGGGTGAACAAATATAGCTATCTATATACAATATGCAATGAATGCAAAGGAAATTATGATGAAAGCACGTCGGAAATGTTCGGTATCACTTTCCGTCGTTAAGTCATGTTAATTGATATATTTACGCCATTTTACAACTCTATGTCTTACCACGCCAGTATAAATTGATTATAGTATTTTATTATTAAGTTCTCATGATATTTTAAATAGTAATAAATAATTATTTCTTAAACAATTATATCATTAGAATATTCTGCTCTTCGCTATATCTTAAAATATTGAATGTTATATTTATAACGTACAAACTTCCCCGCGATATAGTATGATAATATTACTATAGATATAATATTTATTTTCCATTATGTATGTATATAAGCCATAAGTCAGTAAGCATATTACATATTATATATCAAAATCAAACTTAGAAAATAATGCAATAAATAAAAATTTACTTAAGAATAACTGTCAATGTCAGTTTATCTAGTAATTTACGTTATATATAAACAACAGTAATATGTATAGAAAAGTAGAATGATATCTCTGCAATATAGATACTATAAAATTTTGAAACTTGTAATATGTACCTACACTGCTTTCACTCAACCGCATATCCAAATGCCCAAAGCTGTGGAGCCGAATAGAGGTGCCACCTTAATCGGAAGTTTGAATTGACACACATAGTTTCGTTAGCGGTCAGATTCAAATTCATGACCGATATAATTTGTTTTTCAACCTGACCAAACGTGTTTTTAATTTTCTAAAACAAATGCCAATCATCATGGTCCAGAAACATAGTTGGCTATAAAATTGTTGTAGCACGTCGTAAATGTACTATATCTATTTTATCTAACCGCATAGGTCATGTATTTGGGGTTTCGGTCTACCAAATCTCATGTTTCTAGTAGCAATCTGCTATTATGGAATTTATGTTTTATAATGATACTTTCATATGAACGTGAAACTTGTAGAAATATAAGAAATGTGTATATTTAACACCTACTTCATGATTTAATATACACGTGTGAACTAAAGTTTTTATGTGACTGAGATATTATAGTTTTTGTTGACTTTCATGGACATTCATACTCATGCGATGCTATTCATCGTAATTCTTATCGTATAATTGCACTGCCTTATATCACTCTTCAAGTGAAAAAGCGAGCTACTTGATGGCTGAAATAGCCCGAAGACGTTTATATAGGCAGGTACACGTAGACACTTTAAAAGTCTGAAGTAGTTCTTAATGAAGTAATAATTTATATAATGTTTAATGCAAAGTGCAGTAATTAGTAAGTAGTAAAAATATTCAGAGAAATTTCTTTCAGCGGGCCTAACTCCACCTTTATATGATGGCGTTTACTATATTCCGTAGCATAATAACATTGCTAAAGCGTACCTATACTTACTGGAACCGACCTCATTGTGTAGCTTGAATAAATTTTATGACTAAACCGTTTCTAGGCCGTGCAAGTTGTAAAACATTCGAAAACATAGTTGGATCTTAAATGCTTTAGGTACATGAATACAATTGTCTGTCGTTAAGTAATATCGTCAAGTTGCTTAGACAATATGACAATCTAAGTCTGATGTTTTGTTGGTAAATCCTAGTTTAGTTTAAAACATAGATAAAATACAGAAGTAGAGTTTGTACAAAGTCCCGTGAACGGATACTCTGTGCCACCCAATCCTGTAGCTAATAAGGTTGCTTAAAAAGTAGTATTCAGGTGTGAATAGTAAATGACTGAAACAGCACTATACGGAGAAATACAACTCAGTTCTTATGAATGGCAATGTATAAAAGATAACCTTGGGTGTCTCAGTGTACCGATTCCGTAGTTCTGTCTTCTCATGCAAAAGAATACTACATATTCTGTAATGCCCATATTACAGCTCATGTATACAGCTGACGTTTACCACGTTCCAAAAGATAGTCAGTTCATGTACCAAAACCATAAGATAAGCGTTTTAACCAATGCATTTTACAAATATAATTATAATAAATTAATACAAAAGTCGGTCATTCAAAAAGAAAGTGGGTGATTTTGTTCAAAATTGTGTCAGTCTAATGGAGATCGTATAATCGTATTAATTAGAATGTAACATTTAGACCGTACTACGAAGGTAAAGAAAAAATACCGTTTTATTGTAATCAAATTCATACAGTAACTAATTTATTATTATAATTAATATATTCACTTGTATATTAACATCATTTTTAGGGCAAAAAAATATATTACTCGAAGGGTTATGTGTATGGAGATACAACAAAGTTATTACTTTTCTTTTGTATTCGACAATATTTGCTATTTGTTTGGGTTCTTTACAATTTTCAATTTATTTCAATTTCAATTTATTTATTCATGAACAATGTACATTGTATTTGAATGTTGATATGATGGGTGATAAAATTAATAAATTTACATGTTGTCATTTACAGAATGTCATTAATAACAAAAAAAAAAAAAAAACATCAAAAATCGTCAACTGAGTACAAGCATTTGTCTATTAGTAGTGACTTCAATTTTTTTGTAAAGCAACTCAAACTATTCAATAATTTAAGATCCTTCGGTAACTTATTATAGAGTATCACCGCTTGATTTCTTGGGCAACTACGTTTAGTGTAGGAATTATTACCTTCTGTATATTCATTCTCCTTATTAAACGTTGTTTCATGTTCTCTTCAGATTCATACAGATGTTTGTTTTTGATTAATCTGTCAACAAAACCTGTATATAAAGACTGGGTACTGTAAGAATTTTTAGTC